GCCATATATAATCTTAAAAACAAAGCGAAGTTTTACATATGGAAAAAGATTTTTCCACTTCAAAATAGATGAGAAACAGATGCATTTTTTTTGCCAAAAAGGGGGACTGCAATCCCAGTCACAAGCATCTTGTATCTCCTACTAGGCCTCAACCAAACTTTTAGTTTCATGAGAGCTCCACAATTTTTGGTTTCTTTCTTGAACGCTTCTTATTTCTTGATGTTTCTTCACTTGAAGAAGAATCTCCTTCAACAAGCTTAGCATTTTTTCCTTTTTTCTGAAAATTAGCTTTGTCTTCATCACTTTCAGCATCATCATCATCATCATCGTCATCATCACTGCTATCCTCTGAGTCTGTTTCACTAGAAGAAGCAAGAGTAATCACGGGTTGATAACCGGCCATTGCAGACTCGGCAGCGGCTATGGCTTCATCACTTTGTAACTCTGCAACACCAAGCATCAAATCCATCTCAATGAACTGAGATTCCTCGCCGGTTAGAGCTTCTATATCATAGTGCTCTGGGTTCTTTTTTGCATCAATCTCCAGCTTTTTGTTTGCTTCTGAAATCACCCCCAAGAAATCCTTGACTTTTCCTAGAAATTGGCTTTGAGAAGGAACAGGAGTTGTTTTCTTGTTCATATCAGAAGCGGCACTGGGTTTGGCACTTTGGGACTTGAGATATTTGCATTCATTGTTAAAAACAAGTTTGGATTCCAAAGGTGATGTTTTGCCCTCTAAATCTAGCAAAGCTTTGCTGTTGGACTTCATCTGTGCACATCAATATTTGTCAAAAATTAGTATCCTTGGGAGGGGCGTAGTTGATATTACATCTTTCAACCAGACTATATTACTCGGTATAGTATTTGATCAACAAGGAACAATGAATGGAGTATAGCGCCATTTTAAACCACAGAAGCATAAAATACATTTCATGAAAAAGGTCCTTAAACGATTCCAATTTGCAACCCACCGCCAACTAAACAAACATGGAATAACAAAATATGAACAACTTCAAAAAGAGAAAACATCGGGGGAAAAACACCAGTTGATAAACAATAAAAACCAAGTCTTTTTTGTGAACACAGACAAAAACATTTTAGGCATAGAGATGTGTGATGCTTTTGTGCAAGGAGGGAAGAGATTAGTGATTAATAGCTATTGCTAAACCTAACAATTCGAGTATTAAATCACTAATAAAGTAAAATAAAATCAGACCAAAGAAATATGGCACTATTCTGCCACCCTTCTCCTATGTCCTAATTTCTCCAATAGACAAAATACAAACACAAAGAAAATGTAAGGCCTAAAAAGAAGATATATTGATCAAATCAAAAGATACATGAAGCTTGGATAAACAAAACCTTGAGAAAAACCGGTGTGGCGGATCTAGACACTCTAGCACAAGCAGAATAGGTCTGGATATGACAATGGTGCAAACATATGGAGCTAGGGTTGTGGTTTGGAAGAAGCCGGAAGAGGCACCCAGTGAAGGGCTGGCTGCAATGAGTGGACGAGCTTCTGTGGGCTTTTCCTAGGACATATATGGCTCATGCAATAGAGCAATTTTGGTCTAAACAACTAAAAAAACATATCTTCATATTACTAAATTAATAGAATTTCAGATTTACACAACAAATTCATAACAATAAGCAAAAAATTCAAATAAAGATTTCAACTTTTCACATGACAAATTCATATAACAAATTGTCAAATTCACAAAAAAAAATTCATAACACAAATTTATAAAGATTAAAGATTTTTCATATTTACACATAACAAAATGTAAAACTCTTAATGGTATGTTTGGGAACATGGATTTGGATTTCAAATCCGGATTCGGCTCAAATTCCATGTTTGGGAAACTTAAAAATTTTGAATTTGGATTTGAGTCAAATTCTTTTCATTCATAACAAAGTTTAATTTGAAATTTATGAACCTGCTTCTGTGATTTGAAATTCAAGATTTCAAATTTTGAAATTAAAATACATTAAATAAAATGAAACGCTAGTTGCCAAACACTACCTAAAGAAATTCTGAAATTAGCATTTTTTTACCTCCGTACCTGGACTCCTGGACCTGGAGGCTGGAGAGTTTCCGGCGAGGCGGCGACTGGCGGGAAGCGGCTAGACTCTGCAGCAGTGGAGCGTGCTGGCGGGCGACGGCGTCTCTCTCTCGGCTACTTCCTTCTGGCGTCTTTTTCAATTCCCGTTCGTGCTTGGTTTTGGGCGTTTGGCTGCTTCCGCTTTCTACTGTGGAACGGAAATAGGAGGGTTAGGGAGTTTTGGGCTTTGGCTGGGCTGGGCTGGGCTTCAATATATATATATATATATATATATATACACGGAGTAGTATTTTAAAAAACTTAGGCCCCTTAAATGATTGGGCCGGCCCTGTTCCGATATGTTGTTAATTTAAGAGCTGAAAATCTGATTTCAAATATGAGAAATTGAGAATCATAACTTTTTTTTTGCTCAGGACGCCAGGATAAAACGACGTCGTCTTGTCGTTTCCAAGTTGAGTGCCTTCCGCTGAACGCCTCCAGAAGGTGGTGGAAACCGCTGGGAATCCATCCACGCGATTCTCCGGCCGGCACCGATCGATTCATTGAAAAGTACAAAAGGCGTTTCTTCAATCATCATCTACTCGCTTTCGATCAAAAACCCTATTTTGAGCTGCATCCCTATTTTTTTGATTGATCCATGGCGCTCAATCCCCAGCTTTTCCCCAACGGGATGCCCGTACCTTTCATCAACGAACTGTTCGTCTTAGCCAGAGACGGCGTCGAATTCGAGGTCGATAAGATCCCTGGGTTAGCACCTTCCCGTGTCTTCTCAGTTTCCTGCAATTCGTATCTTTGTTATGAGCGTATATTGTCTTCTTATGTTATGGTGATGATTGCTTAGGTTTTTCGTTGTTTTGATGGTTTGATTTTGATTTTTTTTATTTCTCATCCAGACCCAACCTAGGACGTGTGAAGGCTAAGGGAACGATCTACCTCTCGAACATCCGCATGGTCTTTGTTGCGAAGAAACCTGTTGGTGATTTCTTTGCATTTGATATGCCATTGGTATGTAAGTCTAGATTGTGACTTATGTATGGATATCTGAGTTGGATTATGATGCGATTGAGTTTCTTGCAAATGGGTTGATTTATTTGGAGGCGTGTGATCGATTTAGGAGCATTTAAGCTACTAGGAATTAGAAGACGCTAGTATATCTGTGAGTGTGTTGCACTAAATTGCGCCCTCTAGTTGTCCGTTAAGCCAACCCGATGGTGATCAACCAAAGCATTAAATCTTGATGACCATGTTTGGAGGGCATTAATGGCTAAAAATGGATCAGAACGTGTGCACACTTTTATGCATTGTTTTTTTCACTCGCTTTGGAGGTCGTTTGTTTTCCATTGGAAGTTAGCTTTGTTAATTCTTGAGGCGTTGACAGTTCTTGTTGGTAAATTTGCTTGCATACTCCTAATGCTTTTGTTGCTGATTGTTTGTCCATGGTTTTATGTCTCATTTTAAAAATTCTAATTGTATCTGTTTATTCTAGTTCTGTTTTTTGTTAAGCAAGTCGTAAAGGCTTTTAACCTGTTTGGTTCAGACTTTTGGAAAGTGTCCTCCATACTGACCTAGTCATGATCAAGCTCATAAATTAGTTTCCTTTAAGTGGTTACTGCCAAGAAGTTAGAATAACTCTGAACAAGCAAGATATTCTTTTGTAGATAGAAAGAACATAAGGGATTTCAATTTTATGAATGTCAATAGGTGATCGTGACCAGAAAAGTTCAGAGATAAACCTCAGGATTTCTATAAAATTATCCCTCAAATATAGAATAGCTAGGCATTTTGGCTTAAATGGAGCTCATGATTGAAAGTTCTTCGGGTCCCAAAGACGTGAACCTCGCTAGCTTTGCTACTTAGGCAATAACTGTAGAAAATTAATTAGCTACTTGGGCATTATGGACTTTAATGTTGTATTCTGTGAATTTTTTATGGTTATTTTGAATTATACTTCGCATATGTTTATTCTTTATCTTCTGTGCTTCAAGGTTTGCCCACCGTTTTATGGTGCTGGAGTGCTGAAAAATTCCTGTTTATATTGAATTGTTCTTGATTTTTCCATTCTCTAGTCATGGATTTCATGCAAAAGGGTTTGTCTTCATTGTTTCTCATGCTAGTTTTATTTTTATGTATTATTTCCGTGGTTTGCATATTGGTTTTAAAATATCAATCATGTAATCAGATTTCGCTGTAGAATCATCTCGCCTCATTGCCATTTCATGATATGTTACATCCAAGTGGAAATATGATGACGATATATCTGGAATTCCATCTCATTATCTCTCCTAATAAGGCTACAATTGCATTTGGTGTAGAATTTTGCCTCTACACATTTTTTGTGTGTGTAGGAATGGTAGTGTTATTTAATTTCAGACCATGAATTAACCATAAATTTTTGCATCCAACCATTCCAACCTCCACTAGTTGGGACTAAGGTGGAGGTGATGATGTTAATGGAAAAGTCTCTTTTTTTCTCGCAGCTTTATGTTTCTGATGAGAAATTTCACCAACCAATATTCCATTGCAACAATATCTCTGCATCTGTGGAACCGGTAAGTTAATACTTGTCAGAGATAGTTTGCGGACATTATAAACCTCTACATTTTGTAATCTTAGTGTCACATCCATTCTTGCAAACATGTCAGGTTGTGCCAGAAAATGAAAATGGGGCTCTGTATTCCACACACACTATCAAGATCCTATTTAAGGAAGGTGGTTGTGGGACTTTTGTGCCCTTATTTTTCAACCTGATAAACTCGGTGAGAGAATACCATCGACAACAAACTGCTTCAATGGCTCAGCCACGAATGGATCCTTTGCAAGCGGCACAAACCCCTGTTGATGACATGATGAGACGCGCGTACGTGTTGTTTTGTTCCGTTCACCCCTCCACGATCTTCATATTTTTAAAAAAATAAAACTCGCAATTTTGTTTGTTTTTTTTTTGTTTCTTGAACATGTAGCTATGTGGACCCAAATGATCCCACAAAGATCTTCCTGCAGCAGCCCACTTCTGAGTCTCAGCTCCGGCGGCGCACTTACCATCCACATTCTGCTGAACACTCCACTTGAGATGCCCACTGGCGGGGCGGACATTACACAATGCGTGAGTAGTACTACCAGTACATATTATTTTTATGGTTCGTTTTCGGGTTCAATAATGCTCCTTAGTAAATCGACCTTGGGATCCCTAAGAACCTCCTGTGTGTATGCTGAGATGAAGTTTCTGCATTCTGTTTGAGCTCCCTCTTTCAAATTGTATGGTATTTAAAACTGTATGAAGGTTTTCATTGCTATAACAAATCACATGTATGGGGTATCTCTACCTACATTCATTAAGAGCCTGTTCCCTACATTCATGTCTTAAGAGTTAGGCACAGGTGACCCATACTTGAATGTAAACAAGCATACATGAATGTAACAAAAGAATTATTACAAAAAAAGAAAGTTTGTGATTTTTATTAATCAAACGTGAATTAATATGAGAGGAGGGCAATATTAAAACTCTAAGCCATTTATGATCCAATATTAATCCATGAATCGTAATTAGGAAGGAACCGAGTTTAGAGTTTAGTGTTAGCTGTTACTATTAGAATTAGTGATTAGTCTTTTGATTCTTTGTCGTTTGGTATTTGAATTTTTAAAAAAGCTATGTGAAATGCAAATTACCAAAATATAAATAGAGAACTCTGATTGACAAGAAACAAGAACACTTTGTGGGAAGACTGTGGTTGCATTTTGTTCAACTTATTTTTTCAGCTTATTACTTATTTTTATTAAAATCAGACTAGACTATATTAGATCATACCAAATCAAAAACAACTTTAAATATAACTACAATCATATCAAATCATACCAGATCAAACCGGATATTTGAAATATTAGATTAGGCAAATAGAGTGTTGCCTATCTCCTAAATTCTGAACTATTCAAGTACATCAACAATGAAAATAACCATCTTTTACTATTTCAATATATATATAAATACACACACACAAAGAGAGAGAGATACACACACTTTTTTGTAAGAACTCTTACCAAGCCAAAGACTACAACAACAAAGTTTGTGTTTTTCTATCTTTATAAATTTGTAAAAATTATTTATAAATAGTTTTTAACATATAAGTCAGTTAATGATATGTATCTGTGTGCTTATAAGTTGCTTATATGTCAGAAAAATAAGGTCTTAGTTATTATCTTTAAGCTAGTTTTTTCTCCGTTCTAACTATATTATTTATAAAACCGTCTCTCACCATTTATGAATATTTTCAAATAACTTAACTAACTTTTAAGTTACTTTCAAGAAAAATATTTGATTTATAAGTAATTTATAAGTTAAAAATTATTTATCAGTCACTATGCAACAACCTCTCGTCTTACCAAACCAAATGTAAAAAAACAAAATGTAGTAAATTTTGTGTTTTATAAAGAAACAAAATGTAGTCAATTTTGTGATTTAAAAAAAATATAGTAATTTTTAAAAAAAACAAAATACATCACACCTTTTTGTTATACCAATACAAATACAACTAAAAAAAATCCTCTAAGAAGAAAACCTAGAAACTAACTACAGATTTCAAATATCCCAATAAAAAAAGGGTTGTGCTACTTTGACCCCATTTTGTACTACATTTTTAAACTCAAAAGTTTATCTTGACACAAAATGTAAGTGCAATACTATCATCACGATAGTATTGCTCTTACATTTCGTGTCAGGGCAAACCTTTGAAGTACAAACTGAGATACAAAAGTGTGGGTAGAAATAGATTTTTCCAAAAAAATTGCGAACACTAGTCAACTGTTCTTGGGATGCACGGGGAAATAAAGTGAAATACTTACTTCCGACCCACCGTCTCGCCCACTAGAGGCGTGCCAACCGCTCCACACCGGCGTGACCCCTTCCTTGGAAAAGATTGTTACTTTTCGTTTCATGTGTTATCATGAGACTTGACCGCGCCATGCCTCTTGCTCCTCCCATCAAGCCTCATCACTTGTATGTACGTAATGGCGGGGGGCTTAACGGGGAGCTTGACCAATTTTTTTGTTTTGTTTTGTAGATAGTATTCATTTAATCATAATTCGAAGTAAATGTATTCATATGTATTCATACGCAAAAGCACAACGGGAAAAAAATAACAACAAAAAGAAATACAAGAATGAAAAAATTACAATGGGAAAAAATAACAACAGGAAAAAATACAAGACGAAAAAAATTACAAAAAAAAGAACAACTGGTCGTCCATGTTCCATTTTTGTTTGGATCTTTGCCTTTGCCTTCTCGGCGTCTTCTTTAGCGCGCCCGGTCAAGTGATCCGTTGGAGTCCACAACAAGTGCATGTCATTTTTGTATTATTTTTCTTGTTGAAGAGAAAAAAATATTTTCATATACGTTGACATCTCGCCCAACTTCTCCTCCAACTTGCTACTCGCTCTGAGGACATTGGACATTTTCCTCGGTTGTTGCGACCGGATGAGCGGTGAGGTTCGGAAGGCATGGAGTAGTCCTCTTCATCTTCATGTCTTTTAGAGACATTTCGACTCGAGAGGAGAAATGTCCCGAACCCACATCGATTGACGAATCTGTCTTTGACCATTTTGAGACTTGAAGTCTCGAGACAATATTCCACTTCATGGATCTACGCATGACTTATCATGCCTTGATACTCGTGAGCGCACGACGCTCACAAGCGTATTGGGCCAAGGTGCCGCTCATAATTGGTGCATCGCTTTGGGCACTCCTCTGTGACCTATTCACCTTGTTAGAAATACCGTAGAATTGCAAATCTTCGTTTGCATGTCTCGCCATTTACTTGAGATCATGTCGTTAGTCGGAATTGGCCGCAATCCATCGTCTCAAAAAATTGACTCCATACATACGCAAGTCCAAAAATCTGTCGATGTATGGTTACGCCACTTACGCCCTAAAAAGGAATAAAATTAAGACTTATTAGGAAAAAGTTTTAAAAAACGAAAAAAATCATCGTAATAAGAAATAACAAAAAAATTTAAAAACGAAAAAATAAGAAACGAAACCATACCAATTTGAGGATTTTTGGAGGTGTCGATGTAGGATCTTTGTAGTGCAACCTCCTCATCCTCTATCCATTTAGTCATGCCGGGCTTAGTAGTTTTTGCCTGCACCTCTTTTTTCTTGTGTTTCCTCTTCGAGGGTATGCTCGGAATCTGTGCCGAATTGGGATTGAGAAGATGATTCATATTGGGTTTCAGGAACGTATTCATTCATGTAATCAAGTGTGGGTTGGGTGGGTTGGAATGGTGGGGTAGAAATTTGGCTCGTTGGAACCAATTCAGCTAATTATGCATAGGGCTTGTCGGTGAATTGAGAGAATTTGGATTATTTAGGTCGATTTGGGGTCGATAATAATTAAAATATATATTAGGATATGGGTAGTTTGGGTGATCCGGATCTATAATAATTAATAATTTTAAAAAAATTATTAAAATTGAAGATAAGAAGAGAAGATGAATATGTGAAGAGTAGAAGAAGAAGATTTGAGGTGAGATATAATTTTTAGTGAATTTATAAAATGATTTTTTTAAAATCTTGCCAACGGCTAAAAATTGGTCTATTGGCAACAGTCAGCGGCAGAGAAAAAGGAGGTCAACGCCCGTGGTGGCGCTCAAGCCCTGGGCATCACACGACCATGCTGCCGGCGTCACACCGTGACGGGGCGTGACCATCACCCTCAACGCAAGTAACACTTGATAACACATGATCTTAACAACTTTTATTATGTGCATGATCAAAATGTGTAAAAAAGTTAATGCGTGAACGAGCATTGTGCAGTGTATGTATCTTGTATGACAAATATACAATAACATCGTGCATTTAGATTTATAAAATACCACCGCGATCTCAAACACATACTAAGATTTATTTTTTACATTAGTTTTGTTTTCTTACATATTTATTTGGTTAGTGTTTTTTTAACAATATAGTGGTTTTATTATTATTTTTTGAAATAAAAATATCAACTTTCTCCTAGGTCATTATTCTGAGTCACAACACAACTTATAGTTGTTTTAATGTATGAAGTATAGGCTCCGTTCCGTTCAACTTATTTTTTATGATCTGATTCTAATAAGTTCTGATCTGATCTGGTCTGATCTGATCTGATCTGATTGGATCTGATCTGATCTGATTGGATCTGATCTGATCTGATCTGGTCTGATCTGATTAATTATGATATAATTTAAAATTTCAAATCAATAATTTAATTTGACTTTATAATAACGTTTGAAAATTGTAATGATAATTCATATTATAATATAATCAATATTTTTTATTTAATGATTCCTTTTTAATAAAATAAAAATAGTTAATTCATATATTAGAATAATCATTCATATTATAATGTAATAATATTTTTTATTTTATGATAATTTTTTTTTAAAATCAGAATTATACATTGGAATAAATATTTAATTTAGATATACAT